ATTGGGATTAAGACCAGAGCTAACAATATCTATAACAGAGGAAATAAAATACATCCTATTATTTTAGGTTGCATTTGTGCATTCAATGGATTAGGTCATCAGCTAAAAGTGTCTTTAATTATAGAACTTTGCTTAATTTATCAAGTAACTGATAAAAAGCAATCAATTGAGACTATTAAGTGAATTTAGATAGACATCGTTAAATCATATCTCTTCTCTAGTATAAGAAATTGATGACAATTTATGGCAAAAACGTTGGAAAAAGTTATTTTTAATCTAAAGGACAAATCAGAAATGGCTAAAATTGGCTTTACAAAAATCAGCCTCAAAATCTAGATCGGCCCGTCTCGAGTAGGAATGAAAAGTTTTATAAATTTTTAATTGTTAGCTTTTTACGATCTTGCTGTATGTTCATGCAGATAACTGGCCCATGCCTATTGGAGGTTGGGATTCTAGGGGTGGGGCTTGGCACCGTATGACCTGTGGTACACACACAACTGCAAATGTGACCGCATCCACGTTTGGCTTTAACCCTCTCTTTGTCAGGGAGCTTTCTAAACAAACAGCATGACAGCTGTGAATGTACAATATGCAGCCTTTGTTTTTTTAGAACACATCACTCTTGTCGTGTCCAGTAGGCCGGCCCAGCCACACAGATTGTCACCCTCTTGATCATTCTTTTTCCTCCCCTATGTTGTTGGGTTTTTTTTTAAAGTAATAGCTGGTGGCCAGCCGTTTCTTTGAACCCTCTGGACATGCAGGTCATGGTGTCCTTTCGTGCTTTACTTTGGAGAGACTGTGGAAGCTTGTTGCCTTATTTTGTCACCTGTCAAACATCACCCATCAGCTTCATCTTCCAGACGCAAGGTTATTGCCAATACGCACAGCTTCCTCCGTGTGTGTCTGTGTGTGTGTGCATGCACGTACGTCTGTGTGTGTATGTATATATATATAAAAACAGAGTAATATTTATGAATCTATTTTTTCCTATTTTGTGATGAGATCTATTGATAAGAAACAAAAAAAGAAAAGTCCTCTTCTGTTTCTCTTTCCCTCCCTCAGTGGGATACTGCCATATTATTTTGAAGGGAAGTGTTTATTTTCTTGAAAACTAAGACTATGAAAAATAATATAATAATAAATGACAAAAACCTGAAAAAATAGGAGACAAGTCAAGTGAACCACGGCGTTAACTTTGGTTGGGATGTGAACAGTGCGCATGTCAGTATTGTGATCTACCTCAGGCTTCAGGGTACCTCAGTCCAATTTTTCATTTCCCCCCTTTTTTTTCCACATTTTGTATGCCTTGTTAACTGATCATTTTGAGCATTTAATATTATTTTATTTTATTTTTTTAGTTTTTTTTTTTATGAAAAAGATCTGTCACCTTCAGGTGCAGCCGACTAGTGAAACTTTGCAAAACAATACTCCGTTGGACTGTGTTTGCCTGGACGCCATGCAACCTTCTAAAGTCCATTTGTCCAAAAGGAATGAAGTGGGAGATTTTAAAGGATAGAAACCCGAGACATCATGGCTAAGAAAGAAACATACAAATCAGAAAGAAACTAACCAACTATACCTCCTGTTTTTCCCAACTTTACCTTCAGGTTTTTCTTCTTCTTTTTTTTTTTTTTAAGAAAAAAACTGTAAATGAAAAACAAATGATGTTTATTGACTTGTGAGATGTGAAATAGTGTTTTATACCAACCCACCTAATCTTACCAGCTCTGTTTGATAGAAACACACAGCAAACCGGGGCTGATTTTAAAGAAAACAACAAAGCTGCAAAAATACACTGACAGGACCTTTGAAAAGCGGCGTAAAACCCAAGTCTTCTGTGCAGAATGTCAAAACAAGTCTGGTCATTTGCAATGTCACTGTGTACAACAGGAAGAACTGCATATCTGTAAACTTGTACAATAGAGTCACGTACACATCGTTCTCTGACATTTTAAATCAGAGCGTGGCGGGAGAGTTTAGAGCGTCGCAGCTTTCCTCAAACTGACCTCTAAACTTGATTTTGTTTTTGTTGTGCTGTACATTTCAGAATCACCTCTCTGAATCCATGGCTGACTTTAGATACTATAAACAGACCTGGGGCAAAAAAAAAGGAGGTAAACAAACAAATAACATAGTGAGAGTTTTTGTTCAAAGCTGTATTTTTTCTTTATTTTTGCTTGTAGGATGGCAGACTTTTAGTCTTCAGATGAGGTGGATCATTTTTGTCCCAGTGAACACAATCTTGCAGTACTATATTAAAAGGTCTAACAAACTCACACAATGCCTGAGGCTGCCGTTGCCGCCAGTCTCCCCACAGCCGGTACAGTACCTCATACTGATGACTAGAGCTCACCAGACCTGATTCAAAATATCCTGACCTAACTTAAAATGCAGTACGGTGCTTCGACTCCTTATATGGTTTGCTTCACCTTTAGTAGAGCGTTTGTCGGAGAAAACAGCTTTTCATTGTAGCACTGAGAATTTTACCAATCCTTGCAAATCTATGAGCGCCCCCTTTAAAACAGTTTGTCATGTTGAAACAAGACATTTTAATGTGTTTTATTGGAAAAGGGAAAAGATGTGGTTTTCAACAACTTTTATTGAAAAACATCCTGAATGGTTTGGCTTTCCATTTGTATTTAGTCCTGTGGGATAGCTCTCTATTGTACATCGAGAGAAGTTTTTGCCTATTACTCTTTGCAAAAACAGACCAAGTTCAGTCAGATCAGAAAACTTAACTTGTCAGATCAGATTAATAAAGTTGCATTAACATCAACTTTGACAGTTCCTAATTGAGCTTAGGTCTGTACTTGGACTAGGACATTCTAATCTGTACATATATGAACGATTCTAGAGCAGTTCTGTTTAGGGGTGTTGTTCTGGTGGAAATCAGGAGGCCTAATGTAAACCAATTAAGTAGCTTTAATGTCTATTGGCTGCTACAGCAGCCAGTTTTGTTCAAGTGTTAACCATCTAACCAAAATGGCGACCCCTAAATGTAATTTTCATGTTTGTACGCAGACAGAAGAAGCCAGAATTGATGAGAAACTAGTCACAGTACAGAAAGAAGTATAACTTTAAGAACAAATTTAGCAGTGAAAACCTTACAGCTCTGAAACTAAATCTTTAGATGTACCAAATCAAAATATCAGAATGTCCTCATTAATGATGGGGCCGTTTTGTGCAGAAAGGATGCATCCAAGACATGAAATACAAGAACGGACCTGAGTGGCTAAAAGAAATGGACCGTCTCAAGCTGTGCTAAAAGGTATTGGGAATAGATGTGCTTTTAAAAGAGACTGAAAAACATGAAGGAAATATGTCTAATATCTGAAGTCCACCTGTTCCACTGAAAAAGCCTGATTTCCTCTAGGCTTTGGGTTAGTTCTGGGAAAAAAACAAAAGCAGCCGATTTAATGATCAGCGAAGGACGATGAGGCTGGTAAGATAGATCCGCTGAAGCAAAATCAATGAGGAATTTACGAGCTAGAAGAAGGAATTTAAAATCAGCAGTCAGTGGAGAGAGGACAGAGTAGATGAGATGTGATCCAGGTAAAAAATAGAGAACAGCATTTTGAACGAGCTGGAAACACAAATGGGAGGCTAAACAGACCCCAGAGAAAATGCAACATGGTAAATTATGTATTTTTCTCTCCAGGTGTTGAAGCAAAAGACAGGGTTTATGTAGAAGATATTTTACAAAATAAAGCAGATAAATTTCTTCTTAAAATCTGAATTCATGTTAAATTCTCCTACTTCATTGATACATCACTTAGTGTTACGTCCATCTCTTAAAATTCCAGTGAAACACATTGAAGCTCTTGGTTGTAATGCGACATAAAAAGGGGTGTGAATACTTTTGCAAGGCACTGTACTTTATTTAATATTCTTTGGATACGTAGTACAGAGTGCGCTGACGTTGCGGCTCTTTTTTCCTGCATTGCTGACGGCACTGCAGGCCTCTATCTCTCTTGTGTTTTTGACTCTTTATAGGCACAGGTTTCCCTCGAGCTGGACCCCTCTGACTTCAGGAACATCATCCTGAATGTTCATACAGTATGAGGTGAAACCTGCAAGGACTGTAGTAACCTTTTGATTTTTTATTATTTTAAAGGATTGGTATTTCTAGGTATTGTGAGGTGTTAGGGATTCATTTTCAGTACCATAAAGGAAAGAAATGATCCTAATTACACACATTGCTAAGGGTGTACAGTGTTAGTCATATCACACAGTGGTTAAATAGCTGAGGTTTTCTTTTGTTGTCTGTTCTGATCTGGTTTCTTGTATTTCACACTGATTAAAAAATATAGTCTGGAGTTGTAGCTGCGAATTTCTAACTTTTCATTCCTCTTAGATCACTACCAATATTACTAGGTATGAAATTGTGGTGGGACAAAAAAAAATATCCTAGCTAGGATTTTTTTGGAACAGATAATGGACATTTAAGGAAAATTTGAAGTGCTGAAAGACTGTACCCAGGCCTCATTCAAAATCACTGATAGAAAACTTGTTCTGCGTTTAGGAGAAAAACAGACGAGAGGTCACCAAGCACCAGCTGAACCTCTCAGGAGCAGGTCAAAGGTGTGCAGAACCACAGCAGTGTTTTTTGTTGCCCTGCCATGTTGCTGAATGGAAAGTATTGCATGAGATTGATGCAGGTAATCCAGTATGTACTACACCTCACATCGCACTAGACTTGGAGTTGTGTTTTTTTTTTCCCCCTTTCACATGGATCCAGTTCTTATTCGCATTTTCTCCATCTGGGAGATTCCTTTTGTTTCTTGGTAGCTTCAAACCCTCAATGTTACCCACAAGCCAACAAGGCTTCCAACACCTCAAGGTAATAATAATCAGAACTGGTTGTGCCAGAGAGACATCTGATCTGTTTTTTACTACATGGATCCATGCCTTTCTGGTAGCAGCCAAGCTGTTGTTTTGAGTTGTGAGTGAACTGTATTGCTGAGCAACCTGGATCTGAGCAATAAAGAATATCTGAAAGATAAAAAAAAGAAGCTTGTTTTGTTTTTATTTCTTGAAACACTTATACCTGCAAAACCAATCATTGCACAAAGAAGTCCTTGTATTACAACTCCACCAACAGGATGTACTTTCAGAAAACAATACTGCAAATCAGATTTAAATAGAAATAAATAAAGATGGTCCAATGTATTTTTCCAGCGCCAAACTGAGTCCTATTACAGAACTGATTGTGTTTATTAGCACCCTTGTAAAAAGCCTTGAAATAAATTTATCTTTCATTGGAGAAACAATGTAACACAAAAGCATTTTAGAGAAATCCAAGCTTTGAGTACATTCAATTACAAGCGCACTTGTCATAAATGCCTTTTAATAACCCTCTACTGCCAATCATGAAGCACTTTATCTTCTCCTGTAACATTTAACAAGGTTGGAGCTTTTAGAGTCAGTTTCGTACAGGATTGAGAAGCTCATAGAAAGTTATTCAGTCTTCTATCAGCCATTTAAGTTTTCATTTAAAATGGTGATGACACCTGAAAGAGCTCATGATGCCATCCACTAACCTTTAAATGAGAGAAAGATCACAGATCACATAAGACATGAGTGCTTTTACACAGATTTGTCCTTTTTTCTGACACTCAACACCCACCAGCAGTATTGCCCAAAAGCCCAATCTCATTAGTCTGATCTGAGCAAAGCAGACATTTCCAGTTAGTTAAAAAAAAATGCTTGTTAAGGTATAAAAGTTTCTTGCTGGTGTGTACAGAGTATGTAGTGGTAGCTAAGGGGACTTTGTTTTGGCATTTTTAACCTCTCGCCATCTTGTTATGACTTGCCTTTCTTGCCCAGTCTTGGCTGTCACAGTTAGTTGTTTTAAAGACTCATTTTCTTATTACTCTGGATGTAAATAGGAGAAAGTTTAAGCACATAGCTTTTGAAGATCCACACAGATCAGTCAGACTTCTTGTCTTTTCCATTTTAAATAGTGGCAAGTTTAAAAGTTCCTTGAAACAACTCAACTTTGAAAATATATGTTATATTTACTGTAAAAGAATAACAGCAAAATTTACATTCTGTAAAAAAAAAAAAAAACTCTTTCATGTTCTCCCACACAAAATGAATGTACTTATGACCCATCTCCTGGGTTTGACCCATAAGATCAAACCCGCATCTTATGGGTTTGATGTTCAATTTTGCTACAATTAAAGATTCCTTTACTTTAAGGCTTTTTACATATCTTAACTGGGTATCCCAGTAAATAACCCAAGTGCTGCATTAAAATGTGATTAGTTTCTAAATGCTAACATTGCTGAGCATTACATTACCTTTAAAATAATTGACATCTCAATAATAGAAAAGGCAAATGCAAAACCATTTCAAAGGCATAAAGAAATGCACCCACAGCAAACAGACACATAATTTGTAAAAAGAGGCAATAGAGTTTGTACCTCAAAGCTTCACCAGCTCAGAAATAACTTTGCAGTTCAAATTCAGTAAAGAATTCAGCAATAAGAACGGAAAAGCATTCAATAAAAGCCATCCTTACCCGCTTTAAAATATTAGGCTGTGAAGATTTTTTCTGCTCCACAAAAACAAGTGTGGCCCTTCAGATTGTGAACAGGGGAGCTCTGGATCTCCTGCAGTGGCAGTGGGGAATTGGCTGTGGGTCCAGTGGATTTATTGAACGAAGCCTTTGTTGATCTGGGTTTTTTCCAGGAACATAGAATGGCTTTAGATTCAAAGGTTTGGCTCCTTACTTTTGTTATTTTACATTAGTGAACATTTAAGGCCTGGTATGCTTTAATGTTGTGACTGACTGATGTGGATTCTTAAGACTCACCAATTTTTAAGTTACAAACAGAAAAAGGACAAGCATAAACCCAGGAGACATCATCTAATCTGCAGAAATACGGGCAGGCCTTTCGCGGTTTTCACATTAATATTTCAGTGAGTCCATGGAGGTAGAATTTAAAGGCCAAAACAAAACAGGCACTTTGAACGCAAAGTTTAAACTATAGCAGAACTCTTGTTGCCAAACATGAGTGCAAAACGATCTTCTCTCCTCTTCATGATTCCTGTACGTACATTCATACATTTCCCAAATAAAAAACACCAAAACTGGAAAACATTCTTTAAAAAAAAAAAAAAAAAAAAAAAAAGTCCATCAAATGCATTTGTATTTTTTTTAGAAAAGCAGTTTCCTGTTGATCTCCACATAACTCTGATGGGGGTAAAGCGATCCATAACCAAAAACAACGACACAGTCGAGCGTCAAAGTTTTTTCTGAACAGCTGCCACTTTGAACATGTTTGCTCTGGAGAGCAGAAGGCATCTGAAAACTGAGTGGATAAAACGTATAAACCCTCCAGCGAAGTCACTGCACCTTCTTATCTGAGTCAAGTCCGTTCTGAGGCTGGACGGCCAGCTTGACACGTCTCTGGCTGAGGCGACGGATGACGGCACTGGGCACCAGAGCCATGAGGGCAATGGCCAGCAGCTGCAGGAGGTGCTCCCAGGAGAACAGGTTGTCCAGCGAAGAAACCTCTGATAGCATGGAGCCCGTCTGCACGCAGATGAAGTTATAGGGCAGCAGGCCTGAAAATGAGTCACAAAATGTCTAAACAAACCACACTGAGGATGTTCAATCCTTATAAAAGTGCTTAATTTTTTAAATCTGCTTTCATTTAGTTTTATCCTGCTATTATTCTGTTTGTTGACATGCTTTGTGACTTTTTGAAAAGTGCTGTATAAATAAAGTTTTACTTACTAAGCAACAGATTTTAGTTCAGTTCTAAACAAGAATGACTGTGAGTTTTATTTGCAAAATAAAGTAAAAGCATTCTGTTCTTATTCAGGAGATCAAATGGTAAATGGTTAATTGTGTCACAATAAAAGAAAAATTCGCAAACAAGGATGGCTATGTAGAAAATTTCCACTGGACTATGGTGGAGGATCTGTGCAGCTGTTAGCATTTTTCTCTTTCAAAGGCCTGGGAAAGCCTTTGTCAGAATGCAGATACAAGGAGGTTTTAAACAAAAATCTGGTGGCCTCTGGCAATAACCTGAAAAAGGTTCAGAACTGAGACTTTTCTGAAAATTAATAGTGCAAAATATGTGACTAAATCAACACAGATATAGATCACAAGATGCAAAAAGCGCAAAAATCAACTCCTTGCCGTGATCAGTTTCCAGACTTGAAACTGAAAGAAAATCTGTGGATGAAGCTGAAAAGGAGTGAGAAACAGAGAGGATCTATTATTCTAGATGTTCTAACGCAATGGTCAGTCATTCCTATTTTATATTCATTGATATAGCAATGAAGACAAACTGCTGTCCTGTTGGCAAAAAAGGAGTTGTTCAAAAATTTAACAGCAAAGGTCTTCATAAGGTGACAGTAATTAAGTGAAGCATGCTTATTTCTGAATATATCCATTCAGGTTAAAAGTTTGTTATATATACTACAACAATATTTTTTTTTTCCAAACACCTCTAACAGAAGTGCTAAAAACTGTGTAGGACTCTTTAATATCTACATTTTTTTTAATTATCAGTCTTGTGGAGAAAATAGAAAAAACAACTGAAAGGAGTTTAAATAAAAAAAATGTGCTAAAAGCTCGCCATACTGTTGAGACTATGTGAGAAGGCTGGCTTTGTCTTATTTTGTCACTGACTTAATTTAGTTCAATGCGATCCCCATGTTTACATCAAAGCATCTGGACGAGGTCTGAAACAAAGTTATCTCTACAATGGTCTTTTCAGAGCTAATTGAATGCCAACCCTTAACAGAATAGTTTAGACTGAGGCACAACATTCAGTGATAAAAAGAAAAAAAACACCCACCAATAAATACTGAGAAAAAGAAGTATGTGATGGGGATGTTGACGATGGGGGCAGACATGTTCAGAAACCAGTTGGGAGTCATGGGAAAAAATCTCAGGAAGAGCAGGAAGAAGAACAAACAGTCTCGATTGTCTTCCACCTGGAACAAACCGTGAGAAAGAAAGCATTAGTGCCTTGCAAAAGTTTTCACATACCTGAACTTGGTCACATTTTATCACATGACAACCAGAAACCTCAATGTATTTTATTGACATTTTAGGTAATAGACTAAAACAAGTGTAACAAATAACTGATTCTTTTCTTTTTTTATTTTATTTTTTTTTGCATAGTCAGTTCTAATTTACTAGAAAAAATATATTTTAATCCCTTGAATGTAATTAAAACCATAACATGTCTGTCAAAATCATTTAAATATACTAAATACAAAATAAATAAATGGTGTGAAGTAACAGGATACCTTTTTCTGTAGCATGGAAACTTTCTCTGGGAACAGATTTATGATGTGTTGTTTTCCAAAGGCTTGGGAGAGGAGGTAGCACATGGTGGAGCCCACCGTGGTGAGCACACAGGCAAGGAGCAGTCCTAGATACGGTCCAAAGATAGCTCCTGCAAGAATGTTCTGCACAGTGACAAGCAGAGATAAAAAGGTCTGCTGTTAGCACTCAACTTCACTCAGAGCAGGAGATGAGGGAAATTATTTAAGATCTAAAAGTGTTTGGAAGTGTCAAGTGATGGTTGACGGAAGAGTTTTTGTTCACATTTTGATTTATTAGATTCTTTCTGAAACACAACTAAAGAACCTCAAGTTATTTTAAATGCATCAGTGTTTTTATCAGCACTCACCAGAAAAGATGATCCAGGGATGGCAAAAGACTGCTTGTAGAGGTATGCACTGCAGAACAGGAGCAGGACATATGCGGTGTGCTCCGTTTTGTAAAACTGCAAAAGTTCAGAAAGTTCCTGCAGGTCCTCCAGGTCTGATGGGAACTTCAACCTGTGGAAACATTCACTCTCAAATTAGAACTAAAAAAAAAACCCTCCATAGTCCAGAAGAATGGTTTGCTATTGTGATTTTACAATCACACCAACAATGTGACCAAATGGCACCAAAATGTAGAACAGGAAGAAGGTAAGCCAGCAGAGTTACCTTCTTCATGCTGTGACCAGCAGAACACTGCTTTTTATGCAATGCTCTGCTGGTCTCTGCCACGCATGTTTGTATTACTTTGGCATAAATCAACCAACTAAGCATTTCTGCAGACAATGTACACCCTTTAATGGAAGCTATTTCCCGAAAGCTGTGGTCTCTTTCAACAAGCTAATGTGTCCAACCGCACAAACAAAATGGTTGGGGAATATTGTGAGGAGCACAGCAATTTAAAACCTCCAAATTTCCCGTTTCTTATTGCAAATGGAGATTTGTGGGATGTGCAGGACAAACAAGTCTGACCCCATCTCGTAGCTGACTGTTGACCATTATATCTAATCTATCTTAAAGGGTTAGGATTGCTTTTCCAGCTAAAGGGGGCACCAACACGCCATCAGGCAGGTGGCCATAATGTTATGCTTGATAGATTTATCCCTTCTACATCCCCAGAACAAACTGGGGATGTTGAGGAGAGTCCTGTCAGAGTTGTATTGTTATAACCCCGTCGCAACCTGAGCTCAGATAAGCTCAGTAAAAGGTATGAATGGATGTTAAACTTATAAAAAAAGAAAAGAAAGAAAGAAACATCAAGTACCTATAGTCGCTTCCAAACTTCTGAAAGACTAACGTGAGGAAATTACTGACCTGTTTGTCCTTAGTATTTCTTGGAAGAAGGTTGAACAGTAACAGCCATCAGTATTAGCAAAGCAATAGTGGCGCGAATAAATAATTTAACCCCCGATTATATTTTTAAAATAATAGTTAGAGAGAGAAAGAGTTCATCATCAGCCAGTAGAAAATGTGTAACCTGGCTAACAGCTAACAGCAAACACCGGGGTCACCTGCTGAGTTCCCCCGCGGCGTCGCAGCTCTGCTGGAACTCCCTCCCCTCTGGACACGGCTGAGGATGCCTTCGTGGTCCAGCAGGAAGGTACAGAGACAGTTGGTAAAGGTACAGGGTGGCTGCGGTCACAACAACGGCTAGTCCGAGAAGGGAGCGCATTCTCCCCGATGTAAAGCAAAACTCAAGCGCTTCTCTTTGCTTCTCCCCCTGAATGCTGTTGTCACTGAGCAGAACAATGTCCAACCGGCGTGGTGACGTCACGTCCTGGCGTAATCAGACTCCCGTCAAAGATTCACAGCTGGTTAAGACGAAGCACATTATTAGTAGTATTATTATTGTTTATCACTTATATTAATAGCCAATACTTTATGATTCCCCCAAATAATAGAATTTTAATCAATCTGAAGAGTGGAAATAAATGGAGATGTTAATTACGCTCCGCTCCAGATGGGGGCAGCAGTGTACAGCTGGAACTGTTGAGGAACAGAAGCAATGGGAAAGGGAAACGCTGAAGTTGGGATGAGAGTCGGTATTGGAAAGACTAACTGCAGTGAGCATGTCCGGACTATCTTTGATAAACTCTAGTTCATAATATAAATGTTACCGCCCAAATCTGACCTGAATTATGCTGCATTGAATAAATGTTATTAAAATGCATTTTGGAAATATGTGTTAGTAAGAAAGACAGACACAAACTAACAGCTGACCCCCACAAATAAATAAGAACTATATATATGTATCTTAATAGTTCACTGATTAAGTGCATGTTTTAACTGCGCAAGTATTTTTAAAGTCAGAAAATGAGCGAAACAACCCTTTAATAAGACACCTCGAATCAGACACCAACTTCAGCGACGCCGACGAAGGCTTCCATGTGTTTCTCTATCGATTTCAAAGTTCAGTTGGTGAACAGGAAAAGAAGTGCAACAACAACACGAAATACTTGTTGGACACGATGGCTTTTTACAGCCGAGCTTCAGGGTCTGTTGGCATGATAACTCTGCAGAATCCTCCCGTCAATGCACTGAGGTGAGAAACAGTCATCAACTGGGACATTTTGGACAGTTGTTGATCTCTCCAGGAAAGATCTGATCCAGCAAAGTCACATTGGCCTCATATAGCTTATTATGTTCATTTTTTTAAAATTAACTAAAGTAAATAATAATGCATCTACACTGAAATTTTTTAGTAATCCCAAGCTTTGAACTTATTTGTTTGATACCATCATGTTTTTTTTTTGCCAACAAAAGTGAGGAAACAGTTAAACTATTTTACAGTTTTAATGACTGAACAATGTTATCATCTACTTAGATTTAGATTTAGAGCTACTTTAATTGAATTGTTCATTCATGCATCAAAATCTCAAGACACTAATTATAATTATTCTGTTGCTCTAAACATTTTTGTGCTTGTACACGTATTACTTGTGTGGACTTAAGTGTACTTGTGTGCAGAAGTAAAAGTAACGTACTTGTATTGCCTTTGCAATACAAAGTCAGCAAATTTAGCTTTTGTTTTGCTCCCTTATCTAATTAAAGAGGTTGAACTCCACCTTTAACTCATGTTGTGCTCTGCCCACCAGATTGTTCCCTTAGATACACTGGGTGCTTACAATGAATCACTGTTATTAATCATTTACGGGATGAGAACAAAACTTTATCTAACAGTGACACCCTGTTAACGTTCTACAAATATTTTAAATGAGAGTCATTCTGTTTTGACTTGTCCAGAATATGTTCTAGCCTTCATAGAGATATTCTTTACTTCACTGAAGGTGATTATTCAAAGTATTAATTGAAGCAGCTGCCTTTTAATTATGTAGTTTTTGAAGAAAATTGGTTGCACAATATTGTATTTAAACGTGTCAAAGTAACTGGGGATAAAGATATATGGATTCAAAATTTATTTGATTTTATTTGCCAAAAAAAAAAAAAAAAAAAAACTGTGAAAACCATTTATCTTTTTCCGTCCATTGCATGGTTTTCAAAATGTCTTGCTGGTCTGTCTAATAAAACCCTGATAGAATAAATTGTAGGTTGTGTTTGTAACATGAACACTTTTAGCCTGGAACAGTACTTGTAGCAATAGTAAGCAGGAGAATTTCACCAAAAAACACTCCAGTGTTCTGGAAGCTCAGTTGGGAGTAGTTTAAAGCCAACAATGTTGTAAATCTGCTGTTTATGTTTCTTTCTGCAGTGCAGCGGTGAGGCAAGGCATTGTTGACATGATGCACAAAGCGCTCAGTGAGCCAGAGGTGAAGTCTGTGGTAATCTGTGGCCAGAATGGAACATTTTGTGGAGGTACAGACAGTCCTCTGCTTCATGTCAGTGATAATGCACTTCTAAATAATTCAGGGTTCACCTTGTTTCATAAAGTAAAAATGTTCTCCAAATGTTCTGTTCCAGTTGATTTAGTTTTTTTATGACTATAAAATCATGTGCAGCTCATGTTACATGTTTGTCATCATGGTTTTGTACAACAGGAGCAGACATCAGAGAGTTTGGGACCAAGGTGACCGGGCCCCCTCTGGTGCCAATGGTCCATCTGATCGAGGCAGCATCCAAACCAGTAGTGGCAGCCATAGAGGGGGTCGCTTTAGGCGGAGGCCTCGAGTTGGCTCTCTCTTGTCACTATCGTGTCGCCCACTCTAAGGTTAGTTATATTGAACTTTCCCGAATTTCTAAAGAACACATTTCTAAACCTTGAGATGCATCAATCAGACTTTTAAGAGCTGATAAAGATTTTTGCTTTACTTTTAAAGCTCTAACACAAAGTAAATTGTTGTAGTTTAACATTAAATGTAATAAACATGGAACACAAAAATGCTACAATTAGCTTTATAATGCAGTATATATTGAACTGAAAAAAAAAGAACAAGATGATCCACCTTTTTTGCACCTTGTAAATCTGTTCTGTATCTCATTTTTACAAACCGCATCACAAAATGCATGGATGGACTTGCATGTTGTTGTTGATGAAGCAATTATCAGGGTGAAAAAGTTTGTTTTCAGTTTGATACATTTTAATGAATAGGAAGAAAGTCCTGCTTTTGTCAAATGTCTGTATTGTGAGACTCGGCTCACGAACACATTGTACTTCTTGAATAATTTGATTAGGCCAGACTGGGATTTCCAGAGGTGGCTTTGGGTCTGCTGCCAGGTGCAGGAGGAACTCAGCGTCTGCCGAGGCTCATTGGAGTCCCGGCTGCCTTGGATCTCATCACCACAGGTACTTTCATAAAACACTTATCATATAGTTGCTCCTGTTGCTATGAAAAAGATTTAGTGTCTTATTTTCCAGCAACTCAATTTCTGTGAAATTCTAGAACAAAATAACTAACCATATCAAAAAGACAAATGTCTAGAGAAATTCTTTGAAAAATCTGGGTCGTAAAGTTTGGACAAAAGTCTGTTTTCCTTAAGAAGAAGAAGCCATCATTATGAGTTTGACAAGTCTCTATGCTGTAAAAAGCTACAAAGGATTTAAAAATTTTTGTGTGTTAATTAGAAAACAAAGTTTTCTCTGAAAGAAAAAAAAAACAGGGTGTCTGTTAATTTGTGTAATTTAATGACCAGAGTTCATGCTAAATCTGGTAAAGAAAATGATACAATTTGACTTAAGGATTTTCCAGTTCTGGTTTCGTAGATTACTTTTCCAAGACGCTGTGAGGGATGTAACCTTCAGTAAATCAGACTGGATATGTCAGGCTTAGGCTAACTTTTATGTATTAACACATCAGAGCAGAAGCTTTTAAGTGAAAGATTAGATGAAGCCCATTAAATACAGAATGTTTTAAATAGCAGAATTCAACCTTGGCCCAACTTAAAGTGCTCTATTAAGTTAACCTGTCGCAGATTTATTTGTGAAGTGTTTGTGCTGGGAGTAAAGTTTTCCTCTAAACAGCAAAGTTTGTTGAAGTTTTTGTGGCTCAACAGGCTTCTGCACTAAGAGTAAAGACTATATATAGTGTGGTTTGATTTTTCAGATTATCGGACATCATTTTATTAATGCAGAAAGTCATTTAAGTTTCTAAATGCATCTTACTCCGTTGGCCAGCAGGTGTCAGCATATAATAGGTTGTACAGCTTGTGTCCTACTTTCTAGAATTTCTTTCCATAATTCTTCATTCTGTAAAGAATAATCTCAGTGAGTTTGACACTTGGCTAAAATGTCAGTTTTTGTGATGAATAAAAGATCGGGATAAATATATTTCAAAACTTTTCCCACCTTTAATGTGATTATAAAATATTTAAGTGCAATCAAACAAAATTGTGAGATGGGGGAAATGAAGCCACAGTAACCTGGTTGCACTGTGTGAACATCAATAGAAAAACACCCTGTTTTACACACCTTTTAATCTGATTTCAAGATTTGTTGTTCTTGTTCTAACATTACGTGTGAATGTAACTAATTTGGAATAAAGTTTAGATGTCCATCTAAGACTTTCATTACATTTGCATCCTTTCAGTACAAATTTAACCTTCTGGAAGAATGTGTTTATAATTAGCATTAGTTTGGTTGGCACAGAAACAATGCAAAATAACACTAGTGAAACATGGTGGTGGCAGTATCATGCTCTTGCTTTTTCAAATGGAACTAGATGTTTTGTCAAAACTGGGTGAAGTTTTGAACCAAAAACTCTTCAAGTTTTGTCTGAAAAGCTTCAGATTAAGTTGTTATTATTATTATTATTATTATTATTATTATTATTATTATTATTATTATTATTATTATTATTATTATTTCTCAGCAAAGCAGGCATTTAAAATCAACAAAATGGATGAAGTTGGAGTTCTTCAGCTGGTCTAACCAGCCTTAAGATCTGAAAAGAGCTTTAGACAAGAGATGTCTGAATGATCAAGTAGATTTAGAGGCTTTTGGCAAAGCAGAGTGGACAAATTTTGCCAAAGTGTGGGAGGCTGGCAGACTCTTAAGGGTGTTAATCCTACTGCTGAGATAATCAATTACATTCAAATATAGGAAAGTTGTGAAATCATTTCTCAGTCTCATTTTTTATATCATAAAAAGTCACTTTAGCAGTGGTGTATTGACTTTTATATCGAATATAATAAGCTACCCAATAACAAGGTGCCCTTTACATGTAAATTGACTTTAATATATCATGTTCTACATAAAGTATAGAGGACTTCTGTGTGTCCCACAGGCCGCCATGTGACTGCAGCTGAGGCTCAGCAGCTTGGAATCGTTGATGAAGTGACGGATCTTAACGCTGTGGATGCAGCTGTCAAGTTTGCTCAAAGTGTGGCAGGTAAGCCGCAAGATAAATGCTTCTGGAGGTATTTAATGGAGTGATAGAAACTTTCTTTCTGGCTTTAAATATTAACTTGGTGGAAGGAGGAGAAACTTCTTTTGGAGCGGTTATTTTAGGGCAGGCCGACATCAAGACGTGTCAATGTGAAGCCTTTGGAAGGCAACGCAAGCAGAAGGCACGGCTGCCAGATCCTCCACCAAGACAGTCCATAAATGTTTCATGGGTCTGTCAGATGGGCTCTGATGTCTTCACCGCTTTTGCTGTATTATTCAGGAAGGCGAAAAGGGACAAACTTTCCTAGAATATTAATATCCAGGCCCTCTCCAGTCGATTAGTGGTACGAGGATTTCCCGCACGCACGTGAATCTGACTCATTTTACACACTGAGTGGATTCCTGAAGTGTGCCACATCCCTGGAGAACTGGAGGAGCGATCTCCCAGTCTGACTGAAGAATAGGTCATTCTCTTTGGCTGAATGGGGATAAAAATGAAAAGAAAAGTCAGTGTTTTCAGCTCAAATGAAAAATGAAAACACTTTATGTCTCCTCATCTGCTGCAGACGGTAATGCTGTTTTAAACTGTGGGGTTCTTGGCTAACATTTTCTGCTTCACATCTTTCTGTTAACTATAAAAAGAATGACCTATGGATTCGTATTTAACATGAAGGAGTAAGAAAGGAGGAAAGTATCATGTCTACTGCTTCTGTTTGAGCTTGCGTTCTTTCACATAAAGTGAACTGAACACACACCACCCACTCTGCTGGATGTGTGTGTTTAGCCCCAGCAGGGTCTTGCTTTATGGAGCAGCTTTTGTTTTTCTGTGTGAAACAAACATGAATCAACTCCACTAGAGGCTTCACGTCACTTTGTGTCAAATATGTCATCTGCAGCTGATATTTGCAGGTTTCTGAACCTTGACATCTTTTTTGGAGGCATTCAAATCAGCAGAAAGTCTGTTTGGGTGTCAGTATTGGGCCTACAGCTATGTTCTTTTGTCTGTAGAAAATACCAACTTTTGGGTCTGAAAAACACATTTAATACAACATAATACATAAAAAATAATGTCAGGAGGAGTTATTGTCTCCTCTCTGTGCTTTGTTACCATGAGAACAGGGTTGCTGCCAGTCTAGAAAACTATCCAACAGGTCTGGAAAAGTATGGAAAAATATTCCATCTGTCTATTTTCTTTCTCTTTTCCTCAATCATCCAAATTTTTTCAAGTACCATAATTTAATCCTGACATCTGTAGAAGTTTTTACAATGAATTCTCAATAAACCTCTGTTTTTAGTTTAACTGTGAACTGATAAGGACTGAGAACTCTGGAGATTAAAGTCTGAAAAAGTGGTGTTTGTACTGGAACCCTGTGGCAAAGGGATTTGTGTTTGTAAAGCTCAAATGCCTGAATAAAATGAAGTAACAGACATGTAGTATTAAAACAGTAACCGTAGTTTGTGGATGCATTTTTGTTTAAAAAAAAAAAAAGCATAAAAACTTGGAGCCCAGGATACAAAATGCATTAAGGTCACACCTCTCCACATAAACACCACAGAAATCCACATTTGCTTAAAAAATCATTTTGTGCATTTAATTTAATGCAGGCGTGGCCAGGAACAGATCTGAGTCTCTCACTGGTGGTGAGATTAACTTTTTTTTTTTTACCCAGCAGTTGCAACATCTGCCCTCTACATCTGTCGAGGAGGCAGCCAGGCTTCCCATCCACTGCAAATCCACAGCTCAACCATTTACAGATTAACTGCTGCAATAAAGCCTCGTAAATCACATTGAAACAGCATCACACTTCCACATACCGCCTCACCGATGTGTGATTGTTTACCGAGAATAAATTCTTTATCATGGATAACCTTCATCCCCATTTCTCTATTTTTAATATCCTTCTTTTGAGAAATGTGTTTCCTATCGGAGCAAGTGGTTAAGATAAGTCAGATATTCTTGCTGTCGCTTTAAGCTTCACCTCAGTGACCCAGTTTCCGACCCAGACCCTCATGTGAGAGTAATTCAGTGGAGCTGTGAAGGTTTCTGACTGCTGTCTCTTGTAATCACATCAGAGGAGTCAGGATTGGGAATTAAGATGCCTCTAACAAGGTTTTGGCTGAGCGGCCATTTTTTTCTTTCTCGTTCTTTAAAATCACAGCATGCAGGAAGGCTTGTGCTGTGAGGTTGTTGGATTAAACATTACATTTTCTCTTGTAAACAATCTCTTATACAATGGCTTTGTAAGCCATTGACCCATGAGGGGTAAACTAAAGTGCGTATCACACTTTCAAAATTTTTGCTTGCAAAAAATTGAAGACCTTAAATAATTTATCTTCCAGTTCACAATTATCCACTACTTTGAACTGATTTTGTACCATCATCGTTACATCAAGGTGAACGTGTCTGGATATTTTGGAAGCTACTGTAGGGTTTACCTTTGAACAAAATTCCAAGAATTACAGAATTTTGTTGGAAGTGAACCTTTTGGTTTTTTGTTTTGCTCAGAGCTGCAGCGTTCAGCCAGAGTCCCTGCGATTATCTGGAAGCGGCCTGTCAGATCAGCCTGCTCTCAGAAGCTGACTGAGTGGATGAATGTGCCTGAAAAATGAATTATATCCACACTTCCTGAGTGCTTGTTGAAAATTCCAGCAGAGTGGAGAAGTTAGAAGTACTGCTTGAAAAGGGGAAGCTCTTTTTAGCTGCAAATTAAAATTATGCTTATGAATATGACCATAAACTAGATTCGTGCAATTATATGCTCCCTAAAGATATTCAGAAATTGTTTCAAATTGTTTTTAACTTAAACAAGTTTGGTAAATACACCGTGGTATGTGTATTTCTGAACTGGGGTTAAGATGTGGAACAGTTTGCCAGAAGATTTTAATCAAAGCAATAACATAATAATTTAGAAGGCAATTAAAACTGAGTAATTGAAAGCTATGAAGGTACTTACATTTTTGAAGTCTGAAACCTTTGTGATATTGATTTATGTACCTTTTAATGTTTCTGATTTTTTTTTTCTTTTTTTTGTCTTAGCTTAGTTGTTGATTTTGTGTACTATTTGCTATACTAAAACTATGAAGAGTGGAAATGGTTTATCTGCCATGAACATGCGATGGCAGGCACATTTAAGCTGAATAACGTCAGCCTTCACCATATCAATCTACGCAACAGTTACAGATCATTTTTATTTGATTTTGTTTTGACTTTGTTTGGTTACAGTTTGATTATCTACCATTATTATAATGTGTGTGTCTTTGTGTTGTTATAGTCTGACCAGAAGCTACATTTTATAAGTGTGTTTTGACTACTCCCTGCTTTCCGCTATCTGTAATTTCCTTGCAGAGACGTCCTCATTTCTTCTCTTGCAGGCAAATCTTTGGATGCGCGCCGCATCAGCACCTATCCATGTCCACGTCCCCCCGATTTGGATACGATTTTTGAAAGGGCGATGCAGCAGGTGCAGCGTAGAGCTCGAGGAGCCATAGCACCGGGTACTTGTGTCCAAGCAGTTCACGCTGCTGTCACTCTGCCCTACGCTAAGGGAATTGAGCGAGAGCAGGAGCTGTTTTTCGTACTCTTCAACTCAGGTCAGGCCCGCGCTCTACAGTACTACTTCTTTGCCCAGAGAGCCGTCGGCAGGTGGAGCATGGCCGGCGGAGCCCGCTGGGACACCAGCAAGCCCAGGCCTGTGCGTAAAGCAGCTGTCATCGGTAAGAGCTCTGGGCTTCTAATTTGTACTCAGCTTTCAATTAACACAGGCACACTGACTCATCAAGCTATCTGTGTGGCATCTCCAAAGTCCTGTTGCCTATGGAAACTAAGCCCTCATTAACAGTTCATCCGAGTTTGGTAAATGGACTCGCTATTCCCTGCAGGGAGGATTGGATGCACCCCAGTTTGGATATGCGCGGCTCAGCAGCTTGTGCATTAAAATTGCAAGCTCTGGAAAACCATTTAATATGAGAAAGATGATATCAGAGAGCGTACATTTCTCTCTGCATTATGCTGTCATTTTAATTTAGTGGGTGAGAACAAGGTACCTGAGCAGATTACACTCATAGTGAAATATTTCTACCCTTTATTTTATGTTATTTGACGAATATGGCTTACAAACCTAAAATTTTGTATCCCAGATAATTAATATGTAGGGTTAATTGTGGACTTCAGCCAAATCATCACTGAACTTCACACTGAACTTCAAGCCATGTGGACTTTGACTCTCCACTCTTCTCCAGATTCTGTTACCTGGATTTCCAAATTAAATGTGAACTTTACATTGACCCAAAAAGAGGATTGTGAAGCAGAGAGCAACCGTATTGTAGTTTTTCCCTTTTGCCAAGTAAAACATGTGTTGCCCATGTGTGGGATTCATCTGTGGTACTGGCTCTGGATGTTCTGACCTCACCTTCAGTCCTAAAGCTTCCTCAAATTCTTGACAACCCTTTAAAGGCTGCAATTATCCCTGCTAATGTGCTATAACTCTTTTTACAAAATTATAATTTTACAAGACATAGAATTTTGACGTTTAAACATCAAAATTCCATTATAAATAAATTATTGAAATATTTAACACTATGTGTATTGAATCTATTTGAGTTTATCTTCCTGAAATGAGTGAGAAAAAAAATATTAAACATATTCACAATAAACTAATATGTTAGATGTACATGTATTTTAAGACTTGTCCATTCATGTTTCCAGCTATCTCATCCCATTCTTGTAAATTAGGTTGTTATTCCCCGTTTAGTGAGTGGAGTAGCTGCTCTCTGTTTGGAAGCTTGGATTCCAGACATTTTGGATGTTTGACTCAGCAGCCTGTTTAGAAGAAATCTTCACACTGCTTGATTTAATTCAACTGTTTAAAGTTTTATAGAATTGATTTATGGATAAAATATTTACTGTGTTTAAAAGTTTGATTTCTGTCCTCTAAGGGCTTGGCACCATGGGACGGGGTATAACCGTGTCCCTGGCCCAGGCAGGGTTCTCTGTGGTTGCTGTGGAGACCCAGGAGAAACAGCTGTCGGAGGCAAAGCAGGCGGTGTCTGGCATGGTGGAGAGGGGGGCCAAGAGACGAGGGGTGCCCCTGGCACACGATAAAATCAAATACAGCTGCAACGTCCAGGCTGTGGCAGATGTTGACCTAGTCATTGAAGCTGTGTTTGAGGACATGGCTCTGAAGAAAACCATCTTCCAGCAGCTGTCGGCCATATGCAAACCAGGCGCACTCCTGTGCACAAACACCTCTGCGCTCGACATAGACGAGCTGGCTTCTCAAACCCAGAGTCCAAAACTGGTTGTCGGGATGCACTTCTTCGCGCCAGCTCACGTCATGCAGCTGCTGGAGGTGGTCTACGGGCCGCGGTCGTCCCCCGAAGCCGTGGCCACCGCCATGCAGATGGGGAAGAAGATGGGAAAAGTCAGTGTTGCAGTTGGAAACTGTCGGGGATTTGTCGGAAACCGTATGCTGAAGCTGTACTTGGAACAATCGTTCTTCCTGTTGGAAGAGGGAGCCACACCTGAGCAGGTGGACCAGGTGCTGGAAGAGTTCGGGTTTGCCATGGGGGTGTTCAAAGTGTCTGACCTCTCTGGACTGGACGTTGCCTGGAAGATCAGAAAGGCTGATGGCTTAGTTTCGCCTGCCTCTGCAGGAACATCTGCTAGAATCCGAGGCGGCAGAAGGTACAGTCCTCTGGGAGACCTGCTGTGTGAGCTGGGAAGGTTTGGTCAGAAAACAGGCAAAGGGTGGTATCAGTACGACAAACCCGGCGGTCGTGTGGCTAAACCCGACCCTTGGCTGCACGGGTTTCTGGAGGAGTACCGAGCCCAGCACGGCCTGGTGGCACGTCGCATCGACCACCAGGAGGTGCTGGAGCGCTGCCTCTATACTCTGATCAATGAGGGCTTTCAGATCCTCCAGGATGGAATCGCCGCAGGACCGGAAGACATTGACGTCATTTATGTGCTCGGGTATGGCTGGCCCCGACACCGTGGGGGTCCCATGTTCTATGCTGGCCAGGTGGGTCTAGACAAGATTGTGGAGAGACTGGAGCACTACCAGCAGATCCACCCTGATATTCCAGGTCTGCAGCCCTGCACATTGCTCCGGAAGCTGGCAGCCACCGGCAACCCAGCGATCCACAAATGGAGGGAGGTCATCCAGAAACCCCACAGCCAGCTTTAAACTTCAGCTTACCTCCAGCAGATTTTTCTCATTACATTGCTAATTAACCAAATTAATATATATTTACTTTGCAAGTCCATGTAGCTTTAATTCAATGCATTAAATCACTCTCATCATCTCTTTGCTTTGTATTTATCAATGCAAATGTAACAATTGTTTAGAGGGTTTAATTTATTCAAATAAAAGCAGAAGAACCTACAGAAATGAAGTGTAACAAATTTGTCACACTTAAATCTTTAAACCATAAATCACACTTTAATATCAGCCATTCTGAACCTGGATTAAAACTGCTGTTTTCAAGTGAACATGTCATCTATTAGGGAAAAAAGTTCTCCAAATAACCTGGCCTTATGTAAAAAAGAACTGGCCTGCTAAAGAGTTCATGTTGAACTGCCTGTTTGAGACCATACCATAGCATCTCAGTCAGAATTAAATCCAGACTTTGATTAGACCACTGCAAAACCTTCAGATGTGCTTGGTAACATTGTCTTGCACCATGTTACCAAATGGGCTTCATTTTAACTGCACAAATCGGTGGTACATTTGCTTTTAGGGATTTTTTTGTTAGAGAGGAAATTGCTGTATTTTGTTTTTATGCGAGATGAGACAAATATCTGCCAAACAATTTCCACTTTTACCTTATCAGTCCACAGAATAATTTCCAAAAAGCCTTTGATATCATCAAGATGTTTTCAGGTAATTTTGAGACCAGCCTTTCAGATAATTGGGAAAGCAAATAGTCTTTTCAAAAGTGTGTGTCACTACACTTAAACTGTGTTGCTTTATTATACACAAAGTGGGCCCTCTAAGAGACTCAAATATGCACAAACCATAGCAATAAAAAGTTCACCTTGTGGATATTTTTGTCTAAATCAGTTGTGCATCCAGCTTGAAGTATATAAATCTGAGTTTTGTCAGTGCCATGCTTTAATAACCTGAAGCACTGTTTTGGGGGAAAAAAGTTAAAATTACAGATTCTGAATGTAAAACTGATTGCACTTCTGAAAACAACAAAACATTAAACGAATAAGAAATGCGCAAAGCCAAATGAAATAAAAAACATAATTGAGTCTGAAATTCCCAGTAGTTTTCCAGCAGGGTGTTATTAGATGCGGATCACTAGTCATTTAAATGTAAGGTGACAGTAATGGGAGTAAATTGTTGAGGTTGTTAAAGTTATAGCTGCAGCCTCGGCAGAAATAGGGAAAAATCGTTTTAGTGGACGGCTGGTGGAGAGAAGAACCTCCTCTGTGGTTTGGTGGAGCTTTAAGTTATTATTAGTTCTCTAAATCAGAGGCTGTAAAGGAGAGAAAATTTTATTTTATTTTTTATCCTCCTCCACAATCTATTGAACATATTGCTGTTTCTATATATACTGACTGTTGCAGGCTCAATGAAACACTATTCATTACGCTGGATGGATTGAACAGGCTGATGCATGAATGACATATTTGACAACATTAAATCCTACCATCTTGTCAAACCTCATACAGAACAGAAGTGATATCAGCTGACTGATTTTACATTCTGGTTAGAAGTATTTCTATTTGCATTTAGAAATGACAGGAATAAACCCAAAACATATTTAATCACATAGGTAACCAAACCATAGTAGCAGAAAGTAAAAACAGAAAAATACGTTGATCGTGAAAACAAAAAGTCTAATGAACTAATATACTAAAAGACTGAAGGTGTACAAGACTAATTCATTGTTCAGTAAGAGAAATTCCTACAAAATCTCAAAGATTGATGTGAAGTGCCTGTTCCCCCCATATTTAGAAGGATTTAATTGGAATAAATCCAAACGAAGTCATGCATGAGTGGTATAAATTTTATAAACAAATGAAAAACAAATCATTCTTCTTCTGGAAGTTGAACCTCCTTCCCAGTTTGAAGTCTGTTGCAGGATGTTTGACTTCTCATCAACTATTATCAAGTGGTTTCTTGGTCCTGCTGAGCCAGATTTCTCCCCTTTACATGAAGCTGCCACTACTATTGAACTGATGGATGTGGTTTCAGTGCAGAGTAAGTTAATGTTGGTCTCCTCTGGTAAGATTAACTTCCTTTTTTTTTACCTCTTCTTACCAATTTCCTGGTAAGAAGAAACTGATGTGCAACTTCAGTTGTACCTTATATTTGTGCACTTCTTTGTGTTGGTTTATTCTATTAAAATCCCCCAGAAAAACATGGACGTTTGTCTGACAAAATGTAAGAAAAGTCTCATCAATGGTACCTCTTTTCTTTAATTATGACTTGTATTTTTTGACATGTGAATTATGACCAAATTCTTGAATAAAAGCATACTCATATATATATATATATATATATAATCTTTCCACCTTGCTTGACGTTTTTATTTGATCAATAGAAGCTAATTTCTTGTTTCCTTTTTGCGGTTTGTATTTCCTGCTTTCTGCTGGGTCAGCTACAGCAGGAACAGAGGGAGACCCGCAGCTTAAAACTGTTTTAACACAAATCAATGGCTCATTCCAGGTGAATCTCAGTCTGACGTCCAGTCCTGAGCAGATGTTAGGGTTGCCCTCTAGCGGCTGGAGAGCAGCTGGGCTCTTTTGCTTTACAATGCTGATATTTTCATCATTATTAACCATTTTCTGCATCCTTTATTTGATTGGTGGCACGATTCCACCCACCTAGCCTGGTTTCTTTTAAGGAATGCTCTGTGGCTTTTAGTGAGCTCTAATTAAAAGACATCCTGAACAAATCGACACTTTTTAAAGTCCAGTTCTTTAAGGTTCGATGGAGATGATGAATTTCATATTCAAGCCTTGATCTTTGAAGTTGTGTGAGGAGCTGATGAAAGCCCTTGGTTGTGGTGTTTGAAGTGCGCACAGCAGCTGGCTTTGTGTTCGCGGAGCTCCTCCCGTTTCTGTGATGAAGTTCGGATGCGCGTCACCAAGCAGCGCGCACAGCTGAGGAGCTTCCCCGACGCCACGCCACGGCACGAGAGATGGGGAGATGCGCGGATCACGATCACGGGAGGCTACAGATGTGACATTGTCCGTCGTTTGTACTTCCACAGAACGCGTCGCCACCCTTTGTGTGAGCACTGACCGAGCTGATCTGGATTCAGAACACTCAGCAGCATCTATCCCCCCCTTTCTACAAAGCTTCCTTGGCTGCGTGGACCGTGAAAAACCTCTCGGATCGGTTTTTGTTTCACTCCAACAGATCGTGCGTGCGTTTTTAAAACAAAATTGGATCCGGGAAATGTTGGCATGGCCGCCTCGGGAGCTCATAAGTGTCCGAAGAGTGAGAAGTTGGACGAGGCGCAGGCTTTGGCCAAGAGCTGCGCGGGGAGACCAGACTTCCTGCCGTGTGATGGTCTCTCCATCTGCGCGACGCACAGCCACGGGAAGTGCTTCAAGCTGCACTGGTGCTGCCACTTGGGCTGGTGTCACTGTAAGTTTGTGTTTGCATGCTTTAATGACCAACAAGAATGTAAACTGAATGTCTACGATGACTGAAAAAATAAAAAAATAAATGCTCGGTTTGTTTACAATGTTCAAAAGGCAGAGAGGCTGGACGCTTCCTTTAAAGTGACATTTTAAAATGAAAGAAAAATATATTTGAAGACGAAGCAAAGTGACAGTAGAAGAGTTTCTCAGTAAATTCGAACATTTAATCAATCAAAAAGTGAGGCTCATAAATCTCACAGTACCTTTTAACAGCTAACAAATGGGTAACATTACAACTGATAGATTTTAGGCTAGACAGAAATTTGTCCATTAAAATGGTAATCGTGCGTCATGTTTTGTCAGATGATTTTAACCATTACTGTGAAAAAATGCGTAGTTTATAGACTATAAATCGATTTTATTTTCCTTTTTTGTTGCTTTTATTATATTATTGCTTTTTCAGTTTTATTCAATGTATGAGGCACCAATACTAACAATAAATAGGGCTGATCATTATGTAGGAAAATCTGAATAAATTCAAATAGATCATCAAAAAAATAAATAAGTTTATTAAATATGTTACACTGATGCATTAGAAAGTAAAGTAAGTACATTTTATTTATGTAGCCGCTTTTACAGGTCGGAAAACCAAAAGGTGTTTTACTATAGCAAAAAACACATTATAACCACTGAAGACAAAAGCATAAATGGACTAATAAAGCAGAATACAGTCATACAGCATCAACTAGTTCAAAACCAGTCTGAATACATGAGTCTTCAACCTCCTCCTTCTCTTAAAATTTGTTCAAGGAACTATTAAAATTCTATATCTGGAAGACCTCAGACCACTACAAGAGCTGTCGGGTTCTAGCAGGACTGAAATTGGCTGAGACTTGACCACAAATAAATACTGAAACTATAAATGATTTCTAAAATGTACCTGCAGCCAATGTGGAGAGATTAAAAGTCTCTTTTGTGTGTTGGTGGAAAGCCTTGCAGCGGCGCTCTGACCTGACTGGAGATGGTCAACATCTTTCATATGTGAAATTCATGGGCTTTTTCTGCAGGAATGAATAAAAATGCTGTTGCAGTAGTCAAGATGAGATCAAATAAAAGCATAAATATGAACATGAACCAGTCCTGCTTTTAATAACACAGTAACATCAACCAGCAATGATTTTAATTTTAGTCTTCAGATTGGGTGACAACTGGAATTAATTATCTGTCCATTGAACATCATGCATCACTGGCTGCCCTGTAAAGTTTAACCTTTACTGTGACTGTGAAGGTACTATAGAAATATTTCAAGATATAGTATTTGTCTCCGCAGTAAAAAAACAAACAAAAACAAATCCTCTCCGCCCCCAGGAAACCATCTGTGGTTACATATTGAAGTTGAAAGAACATGCAGGTCACGAATCAAAACAATGAGCTGAAAGGGGCTATTTCTTGAAGAATCATAAGCCACACAGACTCATTGCTGAAAAAATGTCTTCCAAGGAAAGTTGAGTCGCAGGAAAAAGTGTAATTGAAGGCTATCTACTAGCAACATTGACAGCAGCAGTTTTAAAGCAATGCACAGTCAAGATTTACTTGTGGCAGTGCTTCAAGAGCAACAACACTCACATTTATTGCTGACATGGGCTGTAACTGTTGCATTGGTCGAATTAAGTCACAAGTGAACCAGTAGCAACATTGTAAGTGTCAAACCAGAGTTAAAAATAAAACGTGATAGACTGTTGGAAGTCTTTACAGATTAGAATAACCTTTGCATTTAATTTGGAAATCAAGGTCCTGAAAAAAAGTCTGAAGTTTCTACAGTCAGTGATGAAATGATGAGTACTTTCATCTGCTGGTGTTGGTCTGCTGTGCTTTAGTTGGTCCAAAGTCAGAGCAGTTACTTAGCTGGAAATTATATTGCTAATTTAGTCCTCATGACTCTAAATAGTTAATTATTTAAAGTCAAGATTGAAGAGAATTAATTTTACGTAAATAAACTTTCTTTCCACTGTTTTTATTCATCGAGATGTGCATAAGCTTCATCACCCTGGTAATTTCATGACACAAGAACGGACAAAATTTCGAGTTAGATTTTGTCAGTGATACATGATGTTCTTTTTAACATTTAATTTGGATAGTCCCAAGTTGGATAGTTTTGTTCATGTTCATGGAGCAAAACTATCCAACCTGGGAAACCAGTGCAAATTCATGCTATAATTCATGGAACAAAACTATAGAGTCCAATTAAGTTAGTTATTAGCACATATATTTTTTTGATGTTTTTTTTTTACTGTAATGACCACTATGTATTATTAAAGTAGTAACCAGTCAGGATAATCAAATAAATTTTAGCAGCTGTGGTTTCAAAATATTCCTGGATGTTGTACCTAATGCATGAATAAATAATGCTGCAATAAAGTTTTTGTGGAAGCTTATCTGTACTAAGAGGATATCCTCAGAGCAACTTGTATTTTACATTTAACAACATTTCTACATCTATTATAAATACTCCCTGTATTATTCATGGGATAGAACCTAATTTACGCTTCAACAGATTCAAACCCTTCAATACACAGAGTTTGTTGTGTGAACTCAAACTCATTAGCAGAGAGGGATTTTTATGTTCCAGATTCTGGTTCTGTTTTTCTGTTTCTGTCTCACCTATTTTCTGGATGCAGTCTGATGACTCCGTCACACATCTGAATCATCACTTTCATTTCTGCTTTTAAAGGCCATGGCTGCTGATTTCCTCTTAAAGCCTGTGCCATATCAAGTATTTCAAAACCTTCATTAAGATTTTGTGATGCATGACAAATAACTGATTGAATTTAGCTACAATAATTTAATAGCTGATTAAATCTCAGTTACTAGCAACACTATTCAGCATGTATTTTGACCCAACATAATGCTTTGGACACTCAGTAGACCAGCCAGTGTTTATTTCATGACCAAAAATAGCACTTCTGTAGAATTTGTTCTGAAGCTGATAAAAGGCATCAGTCATGTACTGTTACACAATTATACCGATGTTTAAAGAAAGAAAAAGAAAAATGTGATTCCTCTGGTTGGTTTAGTTTTATTTTTTTCAACACTGAGGTATATTCTGGTTATTTTGGTTAAATATCCTGTGAAGGAAATGCTAGAGACAGTGCAGCAGTGAACAGAGTTTGCGCTGGCTGTGTAAAGCCTAGTGTAGATCAGTAATCTACCTTTCCTACCTATTCCTGCACACGGATGGTCAGCTGGCTGAATGAAGTCTCTCATGGTGTATACTGTGCCTGTATGATAAATGTGAAAGTAACAGCATTGAGAGATAACATTTATTTATCTGGAATCAACTCAACCTATTTCATGTGTTAATACATTCAAATTGCCTGGTAATGCATATTGTACCATTACAGAACCAGTACCAGTACCTGGGACTGTAGTGAAACTACTTGGCTGTCATTTCTTGGACAGTCTGTAAACAACACTCTAGGCTTAAGCTGGTTAGGTCTAGAATGTATAGCATAAAATCTGTTATCATGCCAAAATTTTGCTGAATGTTGCTAATTGGTATCAAACCTACAGCTAGATTTATAGTTATTGTATGTGCTATAATGACATCAAAAATAAAAATTAGTAAATTTTTATATTTGAAAATAAATTCAAGCGGCAAGTTGTAAAATAATCTTGAGCAATTATAAGAAAATGTTGCACACTGTTATTAATTTAGGCTCCTTATGAAGCATGTTTCTTTTCCAGAAAAAGGCGAAACAGAGAGCTATGGTGGTACTTTAGATGTTGGAAATCATCACTCACTAAAATGTACATTTTAACTGTACCAAAGGGTTTCTTTCAGGCATAAAGCAGAGACCCTGCTGTCCTCATTAATTTTCTTTTTTACCATCGATGTTGGAAATCGACAGCTCAAAATTTAACAAGTGACTTTGAGAGGGATAGGTGAAATTTTGCAACATTCTTCTACCGCTAACATCCTGTCTCTCCGTTTGAACCTTTCTCAGCCTGAATCTTCTGAACCAGTCCCCCATAGCATAAACCCGACCCCTGACAGCGTGTCCGTCTCTTTGCGCTGTCCCCAATTTATCCCCAACTCACTCCAGCTGCCCTGAAAATCCTCAGATCAGTGTAAAACACAATCACCATCTCTTTTGCAGCAGCCACATAGGGGCTTACTGCATGCAACCGCACAAGTCACATTGTAATCTTTTTGCTGTGTAATCGTGGGATTTCAAATGCCCCCACTTTCTCTCTAGAATGAGCCACGCGATTTTGAAATATTAGATGTGACAGAAATATGATGAATCCCTCCCAGTGTTTATTGCAATCTGCAGAAAGCATTCAGGAGGCTCTGCAAAGCCAATCCAGTGTTTATCTGTCTGTGAACATTTAGACTTCCTTGTCCCCTCTGGCAGTAAAACAATTGCAGAGAGCGGATTTATTTTATCCAACTATTCTGCCTTCCAAAGATATTCATACCTCTTGAACATTTCCACATTTTGTCACACTAAAAATAGAAACTTCTATAGCGACGCATGATTTTCAAAATTTGTGCCCTTTCTTTGACAAAACACCTCACTTAGTGAAGCCTTCTTTGTGTCAGGTTATGATGGGAATGTCTGTAAATTTTTTCATGGATTCTCAATTGGATCCAATCTGAAGTAACACACTGTGCTTCGATGTCAGTTATTCATTGTAACTCTTGATTATTTTGGTCTTATGCCGTTTGCAGATTTTTGCAGGTTTTCTTACAGTATTGCCCTGTCAGTAGATCTACCTGCTGACCTGCTTTTCTGTCCTTGCTGAAGAAAATAATTCCCACATGATACTTCCATCCTTATTTGTAGTCTTATTTAATATCTAGAGTGTTTTGAATTAGGGACACAAAAGTTACAATGTGTTCTCATCAAATCAAAAACACCTTTCATTTTTCTGGTGTCTCTGGCTTGTGATAAACTTTTCAAACTGACTTTTTTTTGGCTTTCTTCCAGTAATGGCCAGATT